CCTCGGCGGCTTCCAGTGCTGGCACCACCGGTGAATGACACCAACGGCTGTGAATCATCGTTCAATGATCGTTGTAAGTCTTCAATTTAATTATTTTTGGACTTAAGAACAGTACTCTAAAAACGAACAAAAACGAAGCAGAGATCCTTTTCGAAGAGGGTGCTTGACGGTTTAAATATCATTACAAAAAAGAACTATTTCCTTCTATCTTCTACAGAAGCTACAGGTGAGCTTCATAGTATTAGTAAGCGAAATGCAGAAAGCATAAAATTTTTTTTTTGTTTTTTTTTTTTTTTTTTGGGTGGTGGGAGGATGCAGATGAATTTGACGATGAAATTTGATGAATGTTTTGTCCTTTGATATGTAAGTAGAGAGTCAAAGTACCACTTGCTCAGCAGTGGAATGAAAATTTGCATGCCCTCCTGCGACACCCATAAAGCAGCGTTGCTTTTGCTTCAAAATCCAAAATTTGCCATACCCGGCGAAGATGTGAAGCTCTTCAAAGGAGCCGCATAGTGATGGTCGTATCCTAGATCTGGTGGTGGAATCGTTCGTGGCAAGCCATTTCTTTGTTTTTGACGTCGCTTCAAATCGTTCACCGAATTAAACTTCAAACCGCTCCCGTTCTGTATTACATCCTGCAAACAAACACCAGACATACAGAATCAGTACAGCAATAGTGATATCGGGTTACAGGAATTACAGTCGACCAAAGTTATTATTAGCATAGATGTTTATAGATTTAAATTAAAGTAGATACAACAACAAGTGATGAAAATAACCTCCTGTATAACAACCGGCTGAAACTGCGACAGCCCTTGCCGCCCCATTCGTTCTTCTAGTTCTTTGGCCGAAATTCGTCGGGACGGATATGGTCGTTGCTTAACCGATGCGAATCGTACGTGCTCGTCGTAGTAACCACCGACGTTCCCAGTTCTTCCGTAATTTAACTCTTCCATCGATTTCGCCGGTCCTAAGGTGGAGCAAGAAGGACGCATACTTGCATATCCATATATACCATTAAAATCGCCTGCAACGCAATTGCCTCGTTTTGGCAGTCATAAAGTAATAGCAATAGATTGCATCAATGCAGGCAGAACGTGAAATGTTGGCAGAAGTGCAAAAAGGCAGAATTATAGTCGCATTATTGTAAGGC